GCCGAATGTGGGACGTGCCACCTCCTCGCAGCTCTGTCGTACGCTGGCTCTTGGGCAATCGCGTTTCCGCCACGCGCAGGCCGTGTGGCTGATTTCTGAGAACAGATGTGGCCGTGAGATCTTCTTGGGAGGTTGTATAAGATGAGATGTTTCTGCTCGTACGTACTCGAGCGATTCGAGTGTGTGCCTGCGCCGCACCTCGTACCTGTCAGGAGGATCACAGCATGGTCGGGGTTGGAAAGAACCTCTGTGGTCACCCAGCCCAACCCCCTGCCCAAGCAGGGTCACCCACAGCAGGCTGCACAGCACCGCGTCCAGGCGGGGCTGGAATATCTCCAGAGAAGGAGCAGCCACCACCCACCTGGGCAGCCTGGGCCAGGGCTCCGTCACCCTCAGAGGGAAGAAGTTCTTCCTCATCTTCAGCTGGAGCTTCCTCTGCTTCAGTTAAAAGGTGACCCTGCTTCGGCAGGGGGGTTGGACTAGATGACCCACAGAGGTCCCTTCCAACCCCTACTATTCTGTGATTCTGTGATTCTGTGATTCAGCTGGAGCTTCCTCTGCTTCAGTTTGTGCCCGTTGCCCCTTGTCCTATCGCTGGGCACCACTGGACAGAGTCTGGCCCCATCCTCCTGACCCCCACCCTGCAGATATTTATGAACATTTATAATGGAGGATTTATAATTTTAAGGATCAGGGTTTGTGAGTCACTGCAAGTCACGCATCATGAATTACTCTCTTCTCCTGTCACTGATCTGTTTTTACAGCCAGCTGGAGGCACAGCCTGCTCTAAAAGCCCTTCCAACGTGTTGCGTTGACTTTTACAAGCTTTCATAAGCTCTTTTGTTTTCATTCAGCCTTTGCATTTGCTTTTCTTCGTTACCTCCCAGTGTACGATTTTCCTTCTACAAGATGTCCTTGTCTTGCCAGGAACCATAAGCGTACACTCCCTGTGTCTTCCTCCAAGCTTTGTCAAACCTCTACTTCATTGCTGATTCCCTTTTAACTCTCAGACGATGCCGATAACGGCGGGGAAGGGGGGTGCTTTGTCCCATCAAGGCTTTCTGAAGCTGGAGGTGAAGGCAAAGCCTTCCAGCTTTCCTTGCGCTTGGCACCGTCCGAGGCTGCGTTTTGCGTCTGGCAGCTTTGTGATTGAAGGAATAAATTGACCATGAAAACGTTGACAGCGCGGTTGCTTACGCTGATTTGGTCCTGTAAAATCTACCGCTTTGTTTTGGCTGCCTGTAGCTAACGGAAGGACGGACGGACCTCACCCCCGCCGCACAGGGAGGAGAGGGCAGCCTGAAGGCTGGAGAGCACTGCTGCAGCCCCCAGACCTCGCTGCCCCGGGTCTGGGAGGTGTCGGGAAACGCTGAGGGGGAAAATGCAGGCGGGACGGAGGGGCCAGCGTGTTCAGCCCATCTGTGGGCTGCTCGCTTTGAGCCGGAGACAAGAGAAAGCAGGCGCCTCAGCCCTTCTCCGGCTGCCTTAAAAAAGAAGTATCGGGAAAGTAACCCAGCTCTCCACCTCCCTGCCAGGTCCAGTGTCTTTTTAATCTGCTCCCTCTCAGCTTCCCTGAAAATGGAAGTTGCTGGTGGTCTGCTCGGGGTAAGCAGCGATTCTGGCAGGCTGCAGAGCAGACGTGGTCTCCGGGTCTCGTTGCTTTGAAGCTCCTCGTTCTATCACACGCAGCTAAATCAGATTTATTCTTCTCTGTGGAGGTAAAAATCAGCCTTGTGCGCCCATCTGATTGCAGTGCTGAGACTTGTCTAATTGAGCGAGTGCTGGAGTCAGCACTGGAGTAAGATGAAAAGCAGCGAGGAGATCACCCAGGGCTGACGTCTGAGCTCCGCAGCTACTTGGCACCGACAGAGCAGATGGCTGGGTCACATCCTGCCCAAGGCCGGAGACAAAAGATGTCGACAGGAAGAAAAAAAATATTAATATGGTTAAAAACGTTCAACTCTCAATCTAGGAGTGCCTCAGGTCTCTAGTTTTGTACTTTATAGCATCAGCCCAGAAGATGGGACTAATGAAAGGAGGGGTTGGTTCTGCCAGCTCCTGCGAGGAGCCCGCTGCTGCCTCAGAGCTGATGGAGGTAGAAAATATTTTAGCAGGGAGAACAGAGGTGGAGAGAGTGGGAGCGACTTGGCTTGTGGCGTAAAAACGGGGGTCAGCCGGGAACAGTCTCGGCTTCGCGAGAGACCTGTGAGCCCCTGCGGTCGGCGTTGGCGATGGCGTGAGGAACCCGCGACCGAGAGCTGGTGGGGAGGGCGGCTGGCTTGTGCAGACGCGTGGGGACATCGCAAACGTCGCTGCGGGTCACCTGAACCCCAGGGACAAGCTTCAGCCCGCTCCCTGCAGGACTGCACTTGATCCTACAGCCTCAGTCTGTGTCCAGAGAGGTTTGGGCTTGGGGAAGTCCGCTGGTGGCTGTCTGACTGGTGTGTGGCCATCAGAAGTTCTGGTCACCACCATGCAGCTTGCTGGCCCCTTCCCTTGAGGTGGGAATAAATGGGCAGCCGCAGAACCGCTGCTTCAGGTGCTCCAGCCGCTTGTGCCTGGGGAAATACCAAACCCAAGTCGGTTATGATGCCTTCACTACAATAAAAATTATCTATTTCTTCTAGCTGTGGACCCGCCTAAACTTTACTTTAACAGCAGTGCATGGAGCAAGCGAAGCTGTGGACGTCGGGAGTCCCCTGCTCAGTTGTAAGTGCTGAGGAGCAGGCGATTCCTGGAGCTTCCAGGGCTAAAAGTGCTCCCACAATTTTGCCTTCTGTGTTTAGAAGTTGTTTCAATTTTTTCAAGTGCATCTCCAGCTTGAGCAATGCGGAAAAACTGCGGTTTGCATGCGGGTAACACGTCGGAATTGCCTTGCTGGCGGCAGTGAAAATGCCGTTTTCCAAAGATGTCACTGAATTTCAGCTCTTTGGTTTTAAAAGCTTTTTTTTGTTGTTTGTTTGTTTGCAGGGGGCACTACTGGAAGAACCTTTATGGGCTCCTAATGACATGCAGGTGGACGATTTACTTATGATAATTAAGGTAGGAAGAAGCGTTGTTCATTTTGGCATCTTGGCGTTTGCCCTCTCCTTGAAATCGAATCGCGCTCGCCGGCGGCCGGGCAGGGATCGCTCTGTTTTAGGGTTCAGCACACGACGGAGCAGCACCCGGCCAAAGCATTAAATGGTGTTAAAGTGTCCCTTCAAACACAGGGGAAGGGAAATCTTATTTAAGAACTACCTGGGAACGTAACTAAGTGGAAAAAATCGGACTTCCTGCCCCAAAGGACAGTGAGGTCTCTGTTGGTGCGGAGTTGGAAGGGGCACGACTCTTATTTGAGAGCACTCCGCACAGGGATTTTTTTGTTCTGCTGAAACGTAGTGGTTGAGTTGGAATTCAGGTTCTAACTTGCCACCTCAAAAAAAAAACACCCTAAAAATACATTTTATTAGTTTATTTTCATCATCGTGAGCTTCTGTGGAAAGCTGGTTTGTCTCCAGAAGTAGCAAGAGAGTGCTCAATTCTTGATTAATGAAATGGAGGAAAATCCCTGATATTAAAAGCACTGAACTTTCGGACAAACTTGGAAAAGAAAATACAAATATGTACAGAGTTAAATATATTTAGAAGTAGTTTTTATGATGCTTTGGTATCTGGATTCTGGTTTTGCTGAGTCATTTCTGCCCCGGCTGTCGTGCTCAGAAGCATCCCCAGGGGTGGTGCAGTGGTCACTGCTGGTCTCTGCCGCCTCTTGCAGCAGGAAAGAAGATTTTCACCACGTAGACCCCTCAATGTGAGCTGACCTTTCCCTTCGCAGCCAGAAAATCTCAGCAAGTCATCCTGACTTTACTCAGGTGAGAGGGCCCCGTGTGTTTCCAGGCTTTGCTCTACACACTCATAACACCTCGATGCACGAGCTTGGGGAGGTGACAGAGCTGTCTCCGAGTTCCCACCGAAGTATCAAGGCTCTGCGGCGTGCGAATACCCGAAACACAGCAAAGCTGGATGCTCTGCTTTGGTGCCCGGTGAGGTGTTTGGTGAGACCAACGCCAGGGCTTTCTTCTGGCGTTTATTCAGACTGTAAACGCGTAAGAGAGCATCGCGGGTGAGCGTGGGGTGCGTTACGTCCGTTGCACTTTAACCCGGGCTTTGCTTTGTGTTGCAATTGGGATTTAAACTTCTCGTTAGCGCGGGTGGGATTGGTGGCTTGGTTGGTGTTTGGTGTCGGCGGATGGTTTAGTGGCTGAGTTGTTGGAGGGAGAGGGGAAAATTCAAGCCGTAACAAGAGCAAATTCTTTTAATACGGGTTTACGGCTCTCCGATGTATTTGTACTTTTTGTTTGGCTTGCGATAAGATGCACGGCTGTGGAATTTGCTTGGAGCAGGGATTTGCATGAATTATTGTTTCAGGAACGTCTGTGCAAGCCTTCTCCCGGTGCTTCACGGTAGCAGAGCACCCATTAGGAGAAGGATTTGTGTGCCTGGATGCAGCGGTCAGCAAAAGCCGAGCGCTTGGGGGAAGGAAAGACGGAGTCACAGAAACAAAGCTGCTGAAATCAGGGGGGAGACTCCTTCTGCGCTCTGCGACGGCCTCGGGATGTGCGTGTTTATTTTACCTGCTGACTTCTTTCCTTCTCATCCCAGCACGGTTTTTTTTTAAAAATCCTGTTAGGAGAAACTTGGGACGATGATGCTGGGCCTCTTGCAGAGTTTGGTTTTGTGTTTAGGAATGCTGTCAGTCACGGGAGCTGCTGGTGGAAAGAGCGTGGCCCGAAAGTACCTTGGAGATGGGAGTAAACAGTCATCGTGGATGGTCTCTTGATGCTGCACTTAAAGCATTTCGCTTGAAGGGTTTCACGTTCTCGTAGAGAGATCTTTCTGTAAATCACTAATTAAGCAAATTAGCTACAGTGTCATCAGTCTGTCTACAGAAAGCAAGAAGCTGATGTTTTGAAGAAACCTTCAAGCTGCAGACTCAAATTATCCAAAATTTAAAGTTACGATAGGAATAGGAAGAGCGATGAAAGAATTGCTTGAAATTTGGGTGACTTGAAACCAGGTTTCACGCAGAAAGGCAGACTTTTTATTTTATTCAAAATTCAACATGAATACTAAACCTGTCATCCTCACCTAAAGTTTGACTAAACCTGGTAGTACCAAATAATTTACCTGTAATCCTTTATTTTCCTTTTGTAGACAGTAGAAAAGGCTAAGGTAAACATAGAAACATAGAATGGTTTGGGTTGGAAGGGACTTTGAACCATGAGCAGGGACATCTTCCACCAGACCAGGGTGCTCAGAGCTCCATCCAACCTGGCCTTGAACCCTGCCAGGGAGGGGG